TCTATCTATCTATCTATCTATCTATCTATCTATCTATCTATCTATCTTCTTCATAAATCTGAAGTTAACCCGTAAAGGCAATAGCTGGGACTACAACACAACACACATTAACCAAAACTTAACTGTACACGACATAAGGGGAGAGTTTAAGAACATTATAAGTTCAAACAAAACAAGTTGGACACAGACAAATTAAAAAAAAAGGTAAAAAGGGGACAGAATGGGACATTTCTGGTTAAAGATTGCTTGAATTTGTTTGCTTTAAACTTTTTAAGGAGCAAAAACGCTAACAGGAAGCAACAACTCGGTTTGTTTGACACAGACTAAACCGGTGGAGTTAATGGTGGAGAAGAGACACGGTAACTGGGCTCACATGCGCAGACGATGGGCACTTTGCAGGACAGCTTGGCCTGCTCGATGTTTCCCGCCCCGAGGGCGTTCCCCACCCGGACGCTGGCAGCAGCAGAGAACCCCAAGGGAGACTGGAGAGGAGACAAATGTGGAGGTGTAATAAAGAGGGTGGTACTTTTAGGAGACAAGTCATTGATGCCAGAGGGTGTTCCAAAAGCTGAAGGGTGGCTAATGATGGCAGCTTTTCTGATATTATTATTCTTCGTAAATGGAAGACAAAACATAGACCAGAAATTAAGGAAAGGCTTCAACTTATGTCAGAGACAGCGAGCAGCCTCTGGCTGCAGCCTGTAGGAGCCTCGGTTGGATATCCAACTCCTCCCACATCCAAGTCGGCCATTTTGATTAGGTCATGTGACTAGCAGCTTTCTGAAGTGGAAACGAAACTTTGCTGTCGATACGAAATGGGAAGAAAAACGATGTCCTAAACCTAACCCTGACCCTAAACCTGACCCTAACCTTTACCCTCCACCTTTCATAATTGTGAGAAATAAATATTTTTTGGTTAAACTTGTTTGGACTTATTGTACAAACCTATTTAACATCCACTATTTTAACATAATATTATGGATAGAGTTTAATTCAGTGTTTGCAAGATTCATTTCACTATTCTTAAATTAATGTCTATATTGCCATGAAGCAATTAGGATTTTCTTGCCTGGGATCTTCCTATTGGTGACCTAATCAAAATGGCCGACTTGGATGTGGGCGGAGTTGGATATCCATCCTTGGCTTCCTGCAGTCTGTAGCCAGATGAACTTGGAGACAGCTTTTAAGAGTGCAGAAAGAGCCAAGTAAGGCTACCAAAGCATGGGTGCATTTTGATTACAGTGTTGGTAAAATTCTTAAGGGATTTGGGGTGTGATGTGTACTGTGAGTATGAATATGTGCGTTGATATATCTGTGAATAGATAATTGATAAGTGCTTCCATGTTTGTGTTTTCGTTGTTGAATGTCATTTGTCTGTAATTGTATTATTATCATAAAAGCAAAAAAAAAAAATAATTACAATAAAAAAGGAGACTAAAGGAGAATCCCCTAGAGCAGCGTTTCCCATAAAACCTCCGTTAAAAGCGGGTTTTTCCTCCCCCGGAGGCCCCGCCTGAGGCTGAGGCGTTACCATGTAGGCGATGACGGCCAGCTCGTATATGATGGACTGCGCCCCCAGCTCGGCCTCGCTGATCACCCCGGCCAGGAAGCCCCCCACCTCGAACATCCACCACTCCAGGCAGAGCATCAGCATGCTGGGGATGGCCAGCTGGACGAACGGGCCCCACTCCTGCAGGCAGTCCAGGGACCAGCCTGAGGGCCAGAGAAGGGCAGACCATCAGCCTCTGCTTATCGGGGAAATGAGCGGCTAATCCAAGCGTTTGAATTTTTACAAGTTATACGGGATGAGTCGAAAAAATCCCGGGAAGCCGTTTTATTTCAGAAAAAAATGGGAAAAGGACCTATTGGAATACCCCATAAAGCGGGGGTCGGCAACCCAGCGGCTCTTTAGCCCTAGTGGCACTACAGGGAAAATAAACATTTAATCATAGAGTCTCATTATGTATTTGTCGCCATCTTAGTAATTTTGATGGTAGGCTAATATAGCTAATATAGACACATACAGCATGTGTTACATTCATTATAAGGCTTTTAATTTTTTTGTGGCTCCAGACATATTTGTTTTTTGTTTTTTTGGTCCAATATGGCTCTTCCAACATTTTGGGTTGCCGACCCCTGCCATAAAATAACAGATGAACATGGCGGCCATTTTGAAAGCCGCCATATTGGATGAAGAGGGAGTCTTTCCAAAGGAAAGGTGGTTGTGTGGCCTGTCAGAGAAGACCAGAAGTGTCCCAGAAATCAGTTCCAGTAATCAGATTTGCAACTTCTCTTGTGGTTAAAATATTATCTACACAGAAAGTTGCAACAAAAAACTGAGATTGTTGCCTGTGATGAAGACATATTGATCCAATCTGGCCACTTTCAAGATGGCGGCCATGTTCAGGAATAGCCTATTCCCATTTTCACCTTCAGTCTGACATACCACAGATATTTCTGATCCTCTAATTCTGTTTTATCTGTGAAATCCAGCCACGATTAGCATTATTGGCCAATAATAAGATCACTGAACAGAATCATAAAGAACATTCCCAGAACAGATCACATGACCGACCTGCCCAGGTGGCCTTGTGGAGACCCTTCAGGCAGATGTACACAAACAGGAACACAGCCAGCAAATACTGGGAAATAGCATTAGCTGCTGCGGACCCCCTGCAAGATAAACACAAAGCAGGTTTCCAGGGGACAGAATAATGAAGATTTTGACATAAATTAAAGCTAAAATGGTCAACAGAATAACTGGAACATCGATCAGTGAATAGTCCTTTTAGCGCGTTTACCCTCAGAAAATGGAAAATGATATTACATGGTTATCTATATCATGTAATTAGCTTAAAAGTTACCAATGAAAGTCGTAAACTGGACTGGGAACATTTAGTACTGATGGGGGAAAACTCACGCAACACCCAGATCCAGACAGTAGAGGAAGACGTAGTTAATGGCGGCGTTGAGGAGGTTTCCGATGGCTCCCGTTATTACCTGGGGCCAAATGATCCCCTGAGAGCCGGATCACAAAGCAGGGTCAGTGTTAACCTCAGAAACCGCCCCGCCGAGAGAAAACTGTGCCAGTGAGCAAAGAGGTCCCCGGACCTGGTTTTGGAGATACCGGCCCTGGAGCTGGTACATGAAAGAAGCCTGAAGACGGAAAACACAAGGTGTCACACACACAGCAAAAGAGAGCGTTCAAACATGAGATGAGTCACTAAACAACAGGACCAGCGAGGAGCTGAACTCTTCTGGTTCCTCTGAAAGAGCTCAGCCTTTCTTCCCTGTTTTTGGTCCACATGTTGGTTCCTGGTTTCATTCAGGTTTTGGTCATTTTAGCTCTATTTTAGCTCTTTTTGCTTGTATTTTTGGTAATTTAAAGCCTTGTTTTTGCTTTTTGGGTGTATTAAAAACTTAAAGCAGTGAGGATCCATCAGAGCTGCTGGGGTTCAGTCCACTTCTGGTTCCTCTGGCAGAGCGACGCCTTTCCTCCTGTCTCCTTCCTTCATGGCTCCTTCATGGAGAGCATTTTTGATTCAGCCACCAGGAGCTGGTCAGCTGGAGGTCCAGATGCAGCTCTCAGCTCCTGTTCAGCTCTCTGCTGGATCTAATCCTCTTTCTGATCACTTTCAGATCATTTTCATCTGCTGGATTACAGAGTTTTTCAGGCCCAGCTCTTCTTCTTCTTCTGTCCTCCACTGGTCCAGTTTCCTCAGATGTTTCCAGGACTCTGCTCACCAGCTGAGATCTTTCCAGTTTCCAGCAGCAGCTCTTTGGGAATCCTCAGAACTCCTGTTTCCTGTTTCTGTCAGACTGGGTTTTCTTTGGCCTTTTTCCTCCATCAGCTCCAGATATAGAACAAATTATGTGTCTTTGCGACAGGCCGCTCCTGACAAAGAGCCTGAAGATCCACTTTAAGCTGCTTCTTTGCTAACCCCCTAACTCAAGGGATGAGCCGGTGTTAGATAACACTTACGTTTGGATTTTTTTAAATGTAATAAAACAATGAAAACTGTTGTAAAGGACATCAATAACCATAAAAAAAACTTTGAAAGACCCTAAGAATGTCTATTCTGACATTTTGAGGTGTTTTTCAGGTTATTAATGTTCCCCGACTCCATGTCAAGTTTAAATATCTCACAGTTTACAGTCAGTTAAGGTCAAACGGGAAATCTTCTCAGCAAAAACATCATTGTCTCTCATGTTTCCTGGTTCCATTGTTATAAAGCAGTCCTGCCTATTTGTGGAGGGGCGGCGGGACAAAAAACCCCAGACCAGAATCCTCCCATATATCTGTGGGTCCGACCATGGGGAGCCTCTCCTGAACACAGGTGAGTTAAAACTGGAAATCTTAGTGGAGCTCAGACACAGAACATTAAAATGAAGGCCTCACTTTCCACCTTAAAAACTCCAATTCATTAGCATTATTTGTTATTGGTGTGTATTTCTTTAAACACTGTAAAAAAAAAAGGGTGGCTTATAAAAGGTAGGCCAATAAAACCCTGCAGGTCCCTTCTCATCCCTCTCTGCTGTGCTTCAGCTTTGCCTTTAATCCCCGAGCAGACTTCAGATGCAACTTATAACAAAGATGCTGTTATAATGCATGGAAAAGACTCTCCAGTTTAAACAAAATCAGTTTACTTTTGAAGGAGAGACTGAAACAAACAGCAAATAAAATGAGGAATTTAGCATCACAGCATCAGAGTTGATCTTTTTAAAGTTTTCTCTCATTTTGAACCAACAAGTGAGAAATTCCCACAGTATTTATCTTGTTTTAGCAAATAAATTAGTTATTAACCGCTAACCTTTGAAAGCCCAGCGTTATTTCTTATTATTCAAAGTGTTATGATCAGTTTGAACTGAATAGTTGTCTATTTCTAGGCTCGGTATGAAAGCTACAAGTTCTGAGAAGTCATTGGAGGTGGAAGCATCCCAGCAGCTGCCAGTAAGGAAAAGCTTCTGATTCATTTTCCATTAAACATCATGTGACCCCATTCAAAATATGTTGCAGCGGACCAAAAGAAACCCCCGAAAAACAAAAATATGAATGTTTTCTACCTTTTCTTTCAGTCTTTATTGCTTTGATTGTGTTTGATGGAGAGAGAAATGGTTTTAGGAGTATTTGCCTGAGCTGTTTTTCTGAGTAACAGAGCTGGCACCCCGTCAGGTGAAATGTGAAATGTGAGCCCCCCTGCCTGTTCCCTGGTGCCGGCCGCACCGGGCCTGGATTCACATGGTCAGATATGAGCAGAGATCAGCCAGCCATAACATTAACACCACTCCGTCTCCACCGGCCCGGCTGGAGGGGAGGCTGTTGCCACCTGAACCCGATATCCGCCCCGACCTCGATCGGCATGTCCAGACCTCCGCTTTCCCCTACCCAGTGGGAAGTCCAGAGTGGGGAGTCCAGAGTGGGGAGTCCAGAGTGGGGAGTCCACAGTGGGATCGCCACACAGAGCCTTCTCTTTGCAGGTCACTTAAATATGAATTTGTTTAATAAAAGCTAATTTGTTCTCCTCCCATCCAGACACAGATTTCCTGATTTTGATCCCAGTTTCTTAACTCATTGACTGCCAGCCATTTTCAGAACAGAGAGTCCCTCACTGCCAGAGTTTTTAGAGCAATTTGACTGATTTTTCAAGAGCCGCAGAATAGTTTGTGCTATGACTATGTAAACACCGAACACACCAGTAGTAGATTCTCTTCTTTCATCAGGAAAAAAAATGTGTTTCTACCTTATTCTGTTCTTCCTGGACTTGCGTCTCACCGGCGACATGTTCTCTTATAGCGAACCGTTGCGTTTGTTTTTATTTGCCTACAGTCTATGCTCATCTCCCATCAAAAGTGGCACTGCCACCTAGAGGGTCAATTTGTTACTACATACTCTGTCTGGAAGCCGATATTTGCGGAAAAACTTTAGCCGATCGTTCCCCAGCCACTCTCGTTGAAAAACATAAAAGACGTCTATAGACGTCTTTGGCAGTGAACGGTTGTATTTGAATTGACGTCTATAGACGTCTTTGGCAGCCAATGAGTTAAAATTTTACCCGCCGTCGAATGCTGAATGAAATGGAAACTGAAACTCACCGGCAGGGATGGCATGAAGATGTTGACGTACATCTGGGAGAGCCTTCAGGTGGAGAAACAAGCACAACAGTCACTGCTGGGAAATGGTGACAACCCCAGCATAAAAATGGACGTTTGGAGGCCTGAATTTAGAGACGCTCGCTTTGACAAACAAAGGGGTTCAAAATCGACCCCGAACTGCATTTTCAGTTCAGTTTTTATGTAAAGTGGACGATTATTGTGGGCAGTCGGACCACAGACAAACAGCCTGATTAAAGTTTTGAATGTCTGAATAATTAGCGATCTAATTCTGAGGCCTCTTTTTAGGCATTTTTGTGTCTACTTTGTGAGTCGCAATGGAAAAAAGCGTCTAAATGCACAAACATAAACATAAAAGCCCCCCCAAAACAGCTTTAAAGCCCTAAAAAACAGCTTTTAAGGCCACAAAAAAACTTTTAAAGCCCCAAAACAGCTTTAAAGCCCCCCAAAAACAGCTTTTGAAGCCCCAAAACAGCTTTTAAAGCCCCAAAAAACAGCTTTAAAATGGTGGAACGCCCTACCTGGTGCTATAAGAAGAACAGGTCCCTGTCTGTCATTTCCTCTAGAGATCTTATGATAACTGGGACATTGGGTCTACTTTGTATCGCTTTGGATAAAAGCGTCTAAATCAGGGGGTGTCAAACTCCAGTCCTCGAGGGCCGCTGTCCTGCAGGTTTTCGAGGTTTCCCTGTTTCAACACACCTGCTTCACATCATAGAGCCATTAGCAGGCCTAAACATTAGCTGAACAATGTCCAGAGGAGATCCAATTTAATCAGAATCAGGTGTGCGAGGCAGAAAAACGTCTAAAACCTGCAGGACAGCGGCCCTTGAGGACTGGAGTGTGATACCCCCGGTCTAAATGCAGAAACAGAAACATAAAAGCCCACTAAACAGCTTTAAAGCCCCCCCAAAACAGCTTTAAAGCCCCAAAAAACTGCTTTTAAAGCCACAAAACAGCTTTAAAGACCCCCCAAAAAGCTTTTAAAGCCCCAAAAAACAGTTTTAAGATGGAGAAAGAGCAGATCCCTGTCTGTCTTTTCCTCTAGAGATCTTATGAGAACTGTAATATTTTGTCTCCTCTGTAAGTGGCTTTGGATAAAAGCGTCTGAATGCAGAAGCATGAACATCCAGACCTGGCGACCTCGGGGCTCTGCCGGGCGGCCAGCAGCAGGGGCTCGGTGTTGATGAGCACGGCCCAGCAGGGGAAGCAGGCCAGCAGCAGGATCAGCACCCCCCTCTGGAGGATCACCCC